AAAAATTAAAAATATAAATAAAATAAAAAAATAAATTGCTTTTCAAATGTGGAAAAAAAAAAGGGGTCTAATTGGCAACAGTGTCTTTTTTCTCATGATCTGTTCCTGGTAAATACTGCAAACTGTATGAGAGAAGAGAGATTTGTCCTTTGGTAATCCCTTATTGTATATACGCTCTGATAGCATGTCCTCCATTAAGAAGTAATCCTCAACTTATATTGCCAAAAAATGTGAAATAATATCAATATTATGGTACAGTCATCTTATTGCCCTTGTTTTAGAGTATGAGATATTGTCTGGTTCCTTGAAATATAACTTCTGATACTATTAATAGGTTAGAATATACTAGGTGTTTTTAAAACTAAGATAAAGACTTTAACAGGATCTTAATCTTTAATATCCCTTAAGGATTCATTTTGGTGTCATTGAAAAAAAAATAAAACTGGCAAATTATTGTAATGTGAGCATCAAGAGAAAAATGAAAAAAAATTACCTGTTTATAAAAACACAGAGAACTTTTTAGATTCCTTTTCTTTAGAGCAATACCGTCTCACTTAGAAATATTTTATGACTTTCTTTTATAGCCCTGAAAATCTAACACTCAAAACAGTTAAAATATTCATTTTCATAGTGGAGGCTACAGAAAAGCAGTTAGGTAAGGGAGATTACTGGAAGGAAAGCAATGATTTGGAATTGGCAAAACCTTTCTGGGTCCCGCTAGCAAACAATTGCTCCTTCTTAGGTTGCTGTCGAAAAAACTAATTGGTGGCAGTGATCGCTTCTCTAGAGGCAAAGGTTCTTTAGGTTATATAAGAATAACATTAATCAGTGTTCATTTTTTCTTTTTTCTTTCTTTCTTTTCTTTTTTTCTTTGTAGTGATAAGAGGTTTTATTTTCTTCTTATCCCAGGAATAGATTTGCATGCTGCTAAGTTGCAGTGAGATGAGATCACGCCACTGCACTTCAGCCTGGGTGACAGAGCGAAACTCCATCTCAAAAAAAAAGAAAAGAAAAAAAAGAGCATAGTGCTTTTTATTGTTACGTAAATCCTTATTGCATTTTGTGTAGTCTGCGTATTGGGTGGATTAGAAATTGGCCATTTATCTGCAAAGGATAAAATGAAACACATTGGTCCCCAAAAATATACAGAAAAGTTTCAATTAGAATTGAAAAGAGTATTTTATTTTTCTCATCTTCATTTTCAAATAATTAAGTATATCGTGTCACAATTGATTAGTCAGATCATGCAAATTAACGTAATTGTGTGCAGTATGTCAACCAGGTCTAAAACCCTCATAATCTTTTTGTTGATTGAATGGGAGAAAGGAAGAGTGGGTGAAAGTCTAGAAAAGCTTGTGTTAATTAAGATCCATCTCCTACTGGTAGAAAATCATGTTCAGACATTATCACATCGTTAGTCAGCTCATCACAGTATCACTTTGCAGAAAATCCTATTTTTTTTCCAGTGGCTTTAATGAATTTCTTCCAAGTAGTCCTGTGAAAGGACTGAGCTGTAGTGTTTAGATAACTGTGCCATTTTCTTAAGAAACAGTTTGAGCCTGCTGAGAAGGAAGATCATCTGGTTTGACATTTTGCTGCAAAAGAAGTAGCATTAATATACCATTTTTTTTTAACTTAACAAATAAAACTTCAAATTATTTTGGTCTTTTCCTCAGAATGAAATAGAGAATAGGATGCTAATTAAATAATTGATAGGGAAAAATCTGTGGGACTAAAGGACTAAATAATTATAAATAATTTTTCCATTTACTTGAAATTTTCTAAGATAGTTGTTATCATTTATCTTTATTTTTATAGAGAAAAAATGAATACTCAGTATGCCTTTGTGAGATAAAATTGTTTATATTTAAGAATTTATTAATATGATAAAAATAAAAATTGTTTAAAACATACTTTTCAAGTAGTATATATATTTTCTCTTTATGTATATATAAACTCTTTCTTTCTTCTTTTTTTTTTTTTTTGAAATGAAGTTTTGCTTTTCTTGCCCAGGCTGGAATGCAAAGGCATGATTGCGGCTCACTGCACCTCCGCCTCTCGGGTTCAAGTGATTCTCCCGCCTCAGCCTCCTGAGTAGTTGGGATTACAGGTGCCCACCATTGTGCCTGGCTAATTTTTTGTATTTTTAGTAGAGATGAGTTTTCACCATGTTGGCCAGATTGGTCTCCAACTCCTGACCTCAGGTGATCCACCCACCTCAGCCTCCTAAAGTGCTGGGATTGCAGGCGTGAGCCACCAATCCCTGCCTATGAACTCTTTTTGACAATCATGATAGCTATTTGAGCTATGTTTGCTTGTTAATCTTTGTATTTATGATAATCTGATTAAAGGATGTTCCAAATATAGGAACATTAGTTATAGATTTCCTTATGGCTTTATAAGTGATGCCTTTTATGCTGCTTCTGCTCTGTGTTTGTGTGTGTATGCATGCACACATGTGCATCTGTGTATGTGTTTTTAGTCCTGTCAATATGACATCTCCAGAGGTTCTTTTCTCCAGATTTATAGTCATATGTCTTTTATGATTATGTGAAAAGAGAAAAACTTATTGCTGCTAAAAGGATGTATTGTATTATAGTTGTGGGCACTAAGGATTCTGATTTTTGTTTGCGTTTAATAAGTTTGAGAGATATTCACTAAACTTCAGTTTATACTGTTAGCTTTCAAGGAATATCATAATCAATATAGCTGTTTGATTTAACGGTTCTTTACCTGATATGTAAAGTTCTTGTTTGCTGTGGAGTTTGGGCTTGATATTTCAAGACCCATTTTAGGAAAAGGCCAAATGAGAAAAAGATTCAAAAAATAAGGTATTGCACATCAATCATTTAATGAGTGCACCATAAATTGGCAAGTGGACTGAAAACCAAGGGTTATTTATTATCAAACAGTTTCGTAGACATTTAACTGAAAATAATTTTATAAAATAGTAAAAATAGTAATATCAACCAATAATATAATTTAGTATTTAAAAATATGAGCTAAAATTAAATAGTAAGTATAATTAGAGAAAAAACACATTTTACTTTTTTGTATTTCTATATTTCAGAGTACAAGCACATCTGTGTTTGGATCTCATTAGCTCCTCCTCACCTATATTATAAGAAGTGTCAGAATGGTGAGGGAAAAAAAACAGCAGAAGCCAATTATATATCTCTGATTCTATATGTTTTAATAAATGTGAAGATAAAATATACATTCTCCTGCTCAGTAAGCACTGGCTAATATGTGACCACTGTATTCACAAATAATGTAACATCCAACTATTCATAAACTAGGAAATGGCAATTGTCATCCAGCGTTGATTTTCATTATTTTGTGGAAATGCTCACCTTTAGTTAGTGATGGATTTACTGCAGGTGGGGAGTGTTAGTTAGCTTTGCATTCTATCTCAGCCTGATTGTGTGACTTTGTCAAGATGGGAGTATGGATCCAACCATATCCATGGTTGATAGATGACCATTTGGTCTCGTCTGGGAGTCATTATGATTAACCTTGACAAACGGTTTTCTCTGTCCAGTAAAAATAGATGTTGGAAATAGTTCTTCAGCAAATATTTATCCAGCACCTTAATTATGTGTCAGATAATGTTCTGTATCTTGGTGGCACAATACTCATCTACTAGAAGGAGAAAGAGGGATGGAGAGATACATGCATCTAACAATAAAACACAGTGTGATAAATTTTGTGAAAATGTAAGCACAGGTGTGGTGGTAGTACACAGTAGGGCCAGCCTATTCCAAATCAGGCAGGAGGAGAGAATGAAAAGTAATGGAGGGATCAAGGAAGACTTTCGGTAGGTATGACTCTAGAAGTAATGCATATCTATTCCTGAAAATGTGCATACTCTATGCCATCTGGATAGCTATGCAACATTATTTCCAAGGTAACAGCTAGGATTTTTCCTTTGTCCTTCTTTTTTTTCCCCCCTTTTCCTTCTCCCTTCCTCTTTCCCCTCTCCCTCCTATTCACTCTCTTTTCTTCTTTATGAACTTCATTGCACTGCGGTTGATTAAATCAATGTTTAGCTCATGATATACAGTCATCATTGGACTTTTCCAGGCCCTCATTCATTCATTCATTCATTCACTTATGTTATTAAAATTATTACATATGAAACACCAACAATTACTTACATTTACCCTTTGCTTCTCTCCCATTTCATCCCACTACCTTTCCTAAAAGGTAATCATTATTCTGAACTGTGTGTGTCCTTCCTTTTTAATTGATTTGCTTTATTTCATAGATGGCATGTTTAAATAATACATTGCCTAGTTTTTTTTAACTCAATAAAAAATTATGTTCTGTTATACATAATCTACTGGGATTTTATTCCATTCAACCTTATATTAATATGATTCATTATGTTTTTGTTTATAACTGGAGTCATTCAGTTTCACTTCAGTTAATACTTCATTTTGTGAATAAGCACGAATGTCCATTCTCTCATGTCAATGAGCAACTGAGCTGCTTCCATTTATGTTGTTCTATGAGTGGTGCTACTGTGAACATTCTCATACTTGCTGTCTAAGACATGTGAAAGTTTCTGCAGGGTGTATCCCTGTGAATGGAAATGTTGGGCCACAGTCTATGCATGAAGAAATGTCTATATTATACAAATTTATAGGATAAATAAATGTAACTATTTCAAATATTAATCCAGGCTTAATTTTATATATTTAAAATAAATACATGAATATATATTATTTATATTTATTTATATAAAATATATTTATATATATTTATCCTTAATGGCTACATATATCTTTATGATTAAAATATTATAACCCATTCATACACAAATGTGTGTGTGTGTATATATATATGTAATACATAAAATGATGGGTAAGTTTTTTATTAAGGATGGATATGCAGTCAAAATGGCTAACAAAACAAACCAATAGGAAATACTTCCATTTTGAAATTGTTTTCATGACTTTTATATTTTCACAGCTTGATCTTTGTTTTTCTTTTGACAGAACGATTTCGAGATTTACTACTGCCTCCATCTAGTCAAGACTCTGAAATTCTGCCCTTCATTCAATCTAGAAATTATCCCAAGTAAGCAAAGGGAGTTTACTGGGTTCTGATAAGGCAATGGGCATAGTTCTGGGAGAGATTTGGGCAGGCAAAGACAAAATGTAATCTTCCTTGAGATTTCTGAAAATTCCGAATAACTTACCTTAACTAACTCAGATATCTTCTGCAATACAATCCCTCAGGCTCTTTGCAGCTGGGTCATAGAAGAGACTTACTTTTAATTGCAACCCAGCTTTGATTGAGGAGCTGCTGTACATTGCGGGCAGTAAGCTGTGTGCATCTGTGTCTGGTTCTTTTGGCTTGATGCTGTGTCAACAGGGACAGTATTTCGTCAGTGATACTCGTTTTCTATTTACTGTCCTTTAAATGAAAGGATTCATTTATATTGTAGCAAGTCATTTTCAAAATAGCCATGGGCTAGGTATGATTTTAACAATTCAATTTATATTGAAAAATTGAAGTGAAATCTTCTGACTCTTTGTTATATGAGGCAGATGTTTTCTTCTCACTGATGCCATAAGCATACTTCCTTGTTGAGGGAATATGCCTTCATCTTCCTGAAGGTTAAGGAAATACAAGGCTTCTTATAACACATCTCCTTCCCTAAAAGCTGATGCATGCTGAATCTTGATCCTTCCTGTGGCATCTTGGGGCCTCCTCTATGAGAGTTTAATTTTCTTCAATAGTTAGTATGCAACAGGCTAAAGAATGAATAAACTAATAGATGAAATACAAAAGAAAGACCATCAACTTAAAGGAATAGAATTTGGCTTATATATATTTCATCTAATCACTATGCCAAATTCTTTGATTGCTTTGAGAGTTTTTTTCAAGTATTCATAAGCTTTGCTTTCTGGGGAAATTATTTGCCCTCTAATACTTAGCTTTGATAATGCTTACTTAATTATAATCACAAAAATAAATATATATAGAATCCTAATTATATTGCTTGTACATTGTTTCAAATATTAATCCAGGCTTAATTTTTAGCAATAAACTTTCAGTCCCCTGATAACACACACAAAGACATGCATGTGCCTATACAGCCTTGCATGCATACTTTGCTCTATACCTACATGTTGACCAGCAGCATGAAAGTGCCCGAAAGGTTTGATGCACATCTGTTAGTATTTTACAGCAGCCGTTGGCAGAGGATGATGATGCCTGCTTTTCGGTCTCTTAGGCTTTCTGTTCGCCTAATGCCTTTGCTTGAAGAGGGTAGTCATAGGAGTTTCTCAGGTGGTTATCTATTTGCAGCTACAGGAATACCTCAGAGATTTTGTGCATTTGATTCTAGACCACTACAACAAGTGAATACAGCAATAAAGCTGTCACACTTTTTATTTTAGTTTCTCAGTGCACATAAAAGTAATTTTAACACTATGCTGTAGCCTTTTAAGTATGCAGTAGCTCAGATATGTCTAGAAATACTAATTACATCCCTTAATTAAAATACACTTTATTGTTAAAAATGCTAACAATCATCTAAGCCTTCAGCAAGTCATAAACTTTATGCTGGTAGAGACTCTTTCCTTGATGTCGATGGTTGCAGACTGATTAGGATGATGGTTGTTAAACGTTGGGCTACCTGCACGTATTTCTTAGGATAGAACAATTGATGCTTGCTGCTTCAGTTGGCTCTTCCTTTTACAAAAGAGTTCTCTGTAGCCTGTGATGCTGTTTGATAGCATTTTATCCACAGCATAACTTCTCTCAAAATTGAACTCAGTCCTCTCAAACCCTGTTGCTACTTCATCAAGTAAATTGATGTAATATTCTAAATCTTTTGTTGTCATTTCAGCATTTTCATAGCTTCTTCAGCAGGAATAGGTTTTATCTCAAAAAAAAAAAAGCTGCTTTCTTCCTGTAATTCCAGCATTTTGGGAGGCCGAGGCAGGTGGATCACATGAGGTCAGGAGTTCAAGACCAGCCTGGCCAACATGATGAAACCCCCATCTCTACTAAAAATATAAAAATTAGCCAGGCATGGTAGCACAAACCTGTAGTCCCAGCTACTTGGGAGGCTGAGGTGGGAGAATTGCTTGAATCTAGGAGGCAGAGGTTGCAGTGAGATGAGATTGTGCCACTGCACTCCATCCGGGCAACAGAGTGAAACTCCATCTCAGAAAAAATAAAAATAAAAAACTATTTTGTTTGCTTATCCATTATAAGTAACTCCTCATTTATTCAAATAATATCATGAGATTACAATAATTCAATCATATCTTCAGGCTCCACTTGTAATTGTAGTTCTCTGTTTACACTGTGTAGTTAGTTCCTCCACTGAAGTCATAGACCCCTCAAAGTTTTCCATGAGGGCTCAAGTCACTTCTTCCAAACTCCTATTAATGCTGGTGGTATGACTTCCTCCCATGAATCATGAATGCTCTTAATAATACTTAGAAGGTGAGTAATTTTCAGGATGTTTTTAGATTTACATTGCCCAGCTCTACCAGAAGCATCACTGTCTATGGTAGCTATAGCCTTATGAAATGTATTTCTTAAATAATAACCGTTGAAAGTCAGAACTTCTCGTTGATTCACGGATGAAAAATGGATGTAGTGTTAGCAGGCCTGCAAACAACATTCATCTTCTTGTACATCTCCATCATAACTCTTGGTTGACTAGGTGCATTGTCAATGAGCAGTAATTTTAAACGTTTATTTGTATAAATTTTTGTGGTACATAGGTAATTTTGATACATAGATAGATTGTGTAGTGGCTAAATCAGGGCTTCTAGTGTATCTATCACCCAAATAACATACATTGTATCCATTAAGTAATTTCTCATCATTCACCCACTTTCTAGCCCCCCACCCTGCCACAACCTTTCAGGTCCCTGTTGTCTGTCATTCCATACTCTACGTCCATGTGTACACATCATCTAGCTCCCACTTCTAAGTGAGAACATGGAGTATTTGACTTTCTGTGTCTGAGTTATTTCATTCAGGTTAATGGCCTCCAGTTTTATCCATGTTGCTGCAAAAGTCATTATTTTGTTCTTTTTTGTTGCTGAATAGTATTTCATTACGTATATATACTGTATTTTTTTTTATCCAATCATCCATTGTTGGACACTTAGGTTGATTCCATTTCATTTGTATTGTTCTCGTGTGAGCTTTGCTTACTGCCCGTGTGAGCAGTAATATTTTAAATAGAATCTTGTTTTTTTTTTTTTTTTTTCTGGTTGGCTTAAAGTATTCAGTAAACCATGCTATCTGTAAACAGATGTGTTTTCATCTGGACTCTGTTGTTTCACTGATAGAGCACAGACAGAGTAGATTTAGCAAAATTCTTATAGGCCTTCAGTTTTTCAGAATGGTAGATGAGCATTGGCTTCAACTTAAATTGACCAGCTGCATTAGTCCATAGACAAGGGTCAGCCTATCCTTTGACTCTTTGAAGCCAGGCATTGACTGCTCCTCTCCAGCTGTTAACGCCTTAGATGGCATCTACCACTTGATGGCTGTTTTGTCTACGTTGAAAATCTGTTGTTTAGTATGGTCACCTTCATCTATTATCTCATCTGGATCTTCTGGATAATATGCTGCAGCTTCTCCATCAGCATTTGCTGCTTTACTTTGAACTTTTATATTATAGAGAAGGCTTCTTTTCTTAAGCCTCATGAACCAACCTCTTCCAGCTTCAGACTTTTCTTCTGCAGCTTCTACATCTCTGACATCCTTCATGCAATAGAACAGAGTTAGGGCCTTGTTCTGGATTAGCCTTTGGCTTAAGAGAATGTTGTGTTGTGGCTGATTTTATCATCTAGACCACTAAAACTTTCTCCTTATCAGCAGTAAGGCTGTTTTTCTTTCTTATTATTCATGTGTTCATTGAAGGAGCACTTTTAATTTTCTTCAAAACCTTCTTCCCTTGCATAAGCAATTTGGCTCACTGTTTGCCCCAAGAAGCCTAACTTTATGCCTGTCTCAGCTTTCAACATGCCCTCCTCTCTAAGCTTAATCGTGTCTAGATATTGATAGAAGTAAGAGACATGTTACTCTTCTTTTCTCTTGAAACTTAGAGTTGGTAACTGACCTAAATTTAATATTGTTTTGTCTCAGAGAACAGGATGGTCCCAGGTAAGGGAATGATAATGAGAAATGGTTGGTGGGTGCAGTCAGAACACACACATTTATTTATCATTCCAGATAACTGAAAGTCGAAGAGTTTGTAGCTTTATAACATAAAAAAATTCTGGAAAGTTAAAAAATGAGTCAAACAATTAGAATTTATTTCATTCACAACCACAGATATATATATGTATATATCTACATTGAGATTTTTACCTCATTTTTCTGGTTGAAATATGTTTTGACACCTAAAATATGGGTTACAATGCAACTTCATTGCCCTATAAAATTATATCATGTCACAGAGTGATATTTACAGAGCATAGCATGACCGATGTAGATCATAACATCACTAACATAGATGCGTTGTGCACTGGTTAGTGTGAGCTGTGGTAATTTGGATTTGGTCTGGGGTCTCTATTTACTCAACATAGTGTCCCTATAATCTTTAGCTTCCTGTTACCAAGAGACATGTAACAAATAATGAAATATGGAAACACGTGTCCTTTATTTAGATAAAAAATATTCATGAAGAGAACTCTTTCTGAAATGTATATGTGTATGTGTGTATATGTTTAAGGGAAAGCCATTCAAAAAATATCACCTGAAATGGTGCTTGGAAACACTCTTCTAAAATACAAGAATGTTCATTAATCACATTTCTACATTTGTGAACTCTTATTTGACCCATTACCAAAGCCCGGGCATTCATTCTCATCAGGTTCTCAGAGCAGGAACAGGTATGACAGTTGTCAGAAGGAGACAGATGAGTGAAAATGAATAAAAAAAGATTGTGCATCTAATGCCAAGTGCATATTGTTGATTTGTAGGTGGAAGGAAACCAGTGGAGATGAAGAAATAAATTTTATTGCTAATGAACTCTGAAGGATTTAGGTTCATAACATACGTAGTCTAGAGAGTAGTTATATTTTTATCCTTATCAG